CCAAACCTCACCTTGCTCGCAGCAAAATGTGCACGAGACGAAAGAGTATACTGTTGACGTTCCAGGTGCCGTGCCTCATCAAAGCCTGAGGATTCGCAGTTGTTCCTTGCGAAAATGGCGATAGGTTTCTGAAGCGATGACTTCAGCAGGTGGGTGCAAGTGAATGTCTATGTTTCACAATCCTATGAAGGGTGAATAAGGGTGAGAGACACGTTTCCTATCGTTTCCTGGTCTAACACCTGGCAGCAAACACAACATGCACGCACAAAATCGTTCAGTTGTCAAATCATGTTCAACAGATCAATTTCACTTCAAGGCAAAACCCCTTTCTTCTACGATTCTTCCGTTGTATTACCGGAAAAAAAACAGCAAAGCCACTCTCAACATATATGTAGTTCAGGTGGTTTTGCCGGTAGAAGCTGGGCTTCTCCGATCCACAGTTTCTCTAGGCAAGCTGCCTTCACCTTCGAGGCCTCAAGGTTTTCCTTGGACCACTTGGCGGTGTCTCGGCAGCCGAAACGGAGGAAGAGCGTGCGAAAAGAATTCTAGCCACGGCCTCAATAGAGGTGGGTCAGAACCCGACTGTGAGATCCTATCCCAGTTGGTAACCCAGGTTGCGCGTGCTATTTGCCACTGAACCTCTATTGGTACACTTTTTTGGAAGATTCACCTGGAACCTGAAGACTAGGTTTCATCGCTTTGTAGAGGAAGAAATGGTCAGACCCAGTCTGGTCCATGCCAGGTTCCATGTTACGATCAGACTCTTCCATGCCATGTCACGTCCGTCTTTGCCGAATGATGCCGGGAAACCAATCTGGATGGGCGGCAGAACTGAAACCATGAGAGGACCATGGTTGAACTGGACCAGATCGGTGGTTCTCACTCATTCACTCCACCGAAAACGGGTCCCGTCTCACCATCAAAGTGCATGTCGAATTGCTGAGCTGGGTGTCTCACCAGGCGTGGGTGGACGTGGCGTGGGTGGACGGTTCTTGATTGGCATCATGGCTGATCTTCCAGTATTGAAGGCTAAGAACTCCATATTCTCGGTGTTTGGTGGTTCTTCATCCCCTAGGTGTGTGCGTGACAGACACTTCGTCTCTCTTGACATGTCGCTTTGGTGTTGCAAGGAAGAGTTGAAAGACCTGACTCTGCCACAAAAGTCCCTGCGCGGACCCCAAGTTTCCCCACGTCCTAAAGCGGTGGTGGTCCCGTCCACTATGTGAGGATGGGTCAACTTGGAACCCGAATTGTCCAGCAGGTCGGTCAACCGACACCAGGTGGTCCTCTCAGGGTCTTTCGTATTTCCAACATGATTTTGAGGTGAGTGAACCTCACCTTCTCCTGTAGATAGAAGACATGGTTCATTTCGAGTCGCACCTACTTGAGCCACGAGCCTGACCTCGCCTGACTGACCTGGCACTGATCGGAGCCGTTCGGGATCCCTTGGGGCTGGGAGGCTCCACCGAGTTCTCGGCTCATCCATGGTATCCTGGGGAATCCATTATCAGACTTGGGGAGGGTTGGTGCTTTTTCTGGGTATAGGACATACGTAGGAATGGCAGGAATTCACCTCCAGAATAAGATGATCCTCGTGATTCCTCGATCAGTTGAGCCACTTCCGATGGATGAAACAGAGATTCGGCTTTGCAGACTGGCAGTGTGGCAGGTCATGATTTATGTGACATTACGTGACCAAAGTGCCATACATGCTTCCTGCGGTGTGCGTGTCGAAATTTCTACCGGCTCCATGCCTATGGCGGAAGTCTGTGTCCCGGGTTTGTCTGGAAACAAGAAGACCTCGTTCCGCGCGGACGGCCTCAAGTTGAGCAAACCAAAACCTTCAGAGTCAGACCAAAACCCTCAGAGTCAGACTGGTACTGTAAGTATGTCACCTTCTGGCGCAAGTCTGAGGTCCGCGAAGCAGGGCGGGAACACCTCGCAGTGCACGCTGCTGGTGGCCGACCAAGGTGACTCCGAGTCATTTCTGGTGCAAGAGTTGATGACAAGGGGTGATGTGTACCTCTCCCAGAAAGAGACATGGACCTTGAACATTAACCTGGAACGCTGGCTGTTCCTACAAACCAGTGGCTGTTCCAGCACGATTCCGACCCGAGGCGCCACGCTTTTTTCCAGACAAAATAAAGAACATTGAGAGTTATTAATATTTGTCTGTTGGGTCATACATATTTTTCCTTACCATTGTGACCCAACAGATTAACTCCTAGCGACCGATGGGCCCCTTCTTGGATCTGGGCTCCCTGCTCTTGACCTGGCGGTGTAATCCCAAGAGCAGGAAAGACGTGGACAAGAGGGATGAACCCTTTATGTTAATTATTAGAGAAGATTTTCCATAAAAATCAAGGGTGAATGCAGAAGATGGAAGTGGTGAAGGCCAGGTTCGTGGGGAAGGTGAATGACAGCGGTGAAGGGGTCCAAGGAATCCCAAGAACACTTGATGCATGGCTTTCCATTATATATACAAATCACCTTCATGGCCACCTGTGCTCTGACCGGCACCGTGCCGGTCATCACCCTTCCTCTACGGGGTGTTTCACACACCCGCCTTGAGGGTTCCAAAGGTGGGGCTTCGCAGACATCACAGCATCTCCACCTGCGACCATGCAGCAGGTGGTAGAGGGCTGGATGTGTATTCAACCCTCCAACCTTTTTTTTCAACCCTAACCTTTTTTTTCAACCCTCCAAGACGCTTTTTCAACCCTGGGTTGGAAAAAAATGTAACCCCTACTAAATCAACCCATGGTCCTTATATTCCAACCTTTGTTTTTCACCCTGGAAACATGCCTTTTTCACCCTGGAAACATGTTTTTTCCACCCTTGAACCTTTTTTTCCAACCCATAAACATGCTATTTCAACCCTATGACACGCTATTCTAACCCTGGGTTGCGCCGTGGGGGGCTGGCCTTTCAGTCCTAGGATGTAGACGCCTTCGTCGGAAGCTCGAATGATTCGGCCGCCCTATTCTGCTATCGCTGCTGGTCCTTCTCCACCGTTTTCCTTTTGCTTTGGCCTTGCTGGCTGGCTGCTGCCAGCCTCCACCTGCAGCTTCCGCTGCTGCCGCTGGTGCTGCTGCTTACTGCTTTGCTGTGCTGCAGCCGCTGCTGCTACCGCTGCTGGCGCCGCCGCTGTTGCCGCTGTTTGTGCCGGCGCTTCCTTTTTGCTTAGCTGTTGCTGCTCTGCTGGTTTGGATGCGTGCTCGTGCTCAGAAAGAGTCGGCAGCGCACAGAACATCGCCGCTCCGGGCGACATGTTCCCAGAACAAATATGCTTGGTGCACTTTTTAAAGATTGTCAAAGGATCACAACAGACCGAGCCCTCTGAAATCCCGAATATCATGGCTACTATGCACGCCCTCCTACACCCAGGCCCCCCTATTGAAACCTATGTTCAGACATTAGTAAGGCCTAAGCAGGCTTCAAACCTCAGTTTCTACTCGGTAGGCGCTCAACACAGCATGGAACTCTTACCGGGATGTTGTTTTCCTTCAGTGAGGTTTTGGTCTTGTTTCGGTCCTTTGCTAAGACCTCGGTCTTGTTTTCTTGTTAAGACCTCGACAGGCCAGCGTACATGAACATGTCGTGAAACTGTGCTTGTCTGGCAGTGGCTGCTGGCTCTGGGTAGCCACAGTAAACATACAAGCAAACAAGTTCGTCCAGATTTGCTAGCAAAGTTGCAGTGCAGTGCATAGGTCACACCTTGGAACATTAGACTCTATATATAGAGTTTTCTTCTGTCAGCCCTAGCCAGTTCTCCTTTTCTTTGAACTGACGCACCGGCAGCCGGTGCACCACTTGGCAGACTGGCCCGGTCCCCCAGCAATCGTCGTAAGAGGCCTGAAAGCCTGAGAGGTTTGTCCTTTTTATTCTTCCCATCCCGAGGGTGCATGCGCCAAAGGGCCTGCTGCGCCACAACATCGCATGGTCCATGTTCCATGTTCCATGTGGGTCTCTTCCAGAGCATACAGCCCACGGGGGCACCACGGCAGCGTGGCACCACGGCAGCGCCACGAAAGTCTCTTCCTGGGACGTACGAACTTCCACCTGGCGCACTTGACTGACTCGCCGGACAGAGCTGGACCCAGTGTTATATTTTTCTCACTGGCCTTCTGACACCCTGTCCAGTCTTGCCTGTCATTGGCTGCTCTGATCCGCGCGTCGGTTTCCATGCACCTTGAAGTTCAAACAAAGGAAGACAGTTTAGGGGCTCCTGGCCTTGTTACTAGGGGCAAGGACGCTGACGCTACTAGGGCCCCCTGTCCTTACGCTACTAGAGGCTCGTGGCCGAACTACTCGGAGCAAGGACGCCGATTGGCTTGTGGAGCGGGCCGGCGTCAGCACGGCAAAGATGGTAGCGATCCGTCCTTGCAATGACCACTGCTCTAGACATCGAGCATCCGCAGCTCGAGCGTGCAAAGGTTGCTGCCAGAACTGGGCGAGCATCTCACGCCTCGAGACACCGGCGAGACCCTTCACACGAGATCCCCTGCGGACAAGACGCGTGACAGGCGCGCGAAGTTCAAACCAAAGGAAAACAGTTTAGGGGCTCCTGGCCTTGCTACTAGGGGCAAGAACGCTACTAGAGGTTCTTGACCTTACTACTCTGAGCAAGGACGCTACTAGGAGCTCCTGGCCTTACGCTACTAAGGGCTCGTGGCCGAACTACTCGGAGCAAGGACGCTTCTGGGTATGCGAAATAGTGGTCTTGGTTCCCTTACAGCCCCAAAACACTTCTTGGGTGTTGGTTGGTGCGTAGAACAACTTCTTGAAGCAGGCAACAACAACAACAACCACAACAACAACAACCGCGACATTGTTGCACGTGGGGTTCTTACCTTTTTACCTGGACCCAGTGTTATATTTTTCTCACTGGCCTTCTGACACCCTGTCCAGTCTTGCCTGTCATTGGCTGCTCTGATCCGCGCGTCGGTTTCCATGCACCTTGAAGTTCAAACAAAGGAAGACAGTTTAGGGGCTCCTGGCCTTGTTACTAGGGGCAAGGACGCTACTAGAGGTTCTTTACCTTACTACTATGAGCAAGGACGCTACTAGGGCCCCCTGGCCTTACGCTACTAGAGGCTCGTGGCCGAACTACTCGGAGCAAGGACGCCGATTGGCTTGTGGAGCGGGCCGGCGTCTGCGTCTCACCCATGCGACTTCTCCTGCGCACATGGAAGAGAAATCTGGACCAAATTGAATTGGCGCAAGCCGATGAATGAAGCTCGAAGAGATCTGGCAGCCACCGCTGCAGCCGACAGCTAGAAAACCAGCAGCCGACACGAACCGCAACAAACCAGAGCACCACACATGACGCGACAAACCAGAGCAACAAAGTGAGAACAAAGGGCATCGCTACTAGGAGCAAGGACGCTACTAGGGGCTCCTGGCATCGCTACTAGGAGCAAAGACCAAAGAAGCTTTCTAGGTCAAATCGAACGTCGAACGAATCTCTTCGGCCTGCTACAAGGGTTAAAAAAGAATGTGACAGGGTCAAAAAACAATGTTCGAGGGTGAAAAAGAAATGTTGCAGGGTTGAAAAAAAAGGTTAGGGTGGAAAAAAATGTTTTAGGGTTGAAAAACAATGTTGCCCTCTACCACCGGCTGCATGGTCGCAGGTGGAGATGCTGTGATGTCTGCGAAGCCCCACCTTTGGAACCCTCAAGGCGGGTGTGTGAAACACCTGATTCCCGATGGCTCCGCGATGGCGAGCCAACCACCCAGTCCCAGCCAGAAACAGTTCTGGGTGTTCCTACATGGCAACTGAGATCCTGAAAACATGACATGTGGTTGTTTGGGAGATATCCATTTGTTTCTAGTTTTTGCTGGCGGGTGCCGTAACCGTAACGGCCCCGTGGTTTTGCTTGTTGCTATTAGTTTGAATCCGCATATTTACATGCAACCCCACCAAGACATTTACGACACTGACATTCATGTAGTAGGTAATGACAACCGTTCCACTGGTTTGAATGCGTGACAGCTAAGAGTGTAGAGAAAGGTGTGAACCCACGGATTCGTGCACGCCGAACCCAGTGGCGATGCGAACAGCGACCCTTTTTCGAACGAAGGCGACCTGCGCCGAAAGCAACCCTGAAAAGATGGGGCCTCCGTCCTTGCAGTCGATCAAACCCGAAACCCAAAAAAACTGTTCGACAAACCTCAGTGATTCCACAGCATGCCACAGTGATTCCTGTTAAGATGTTACCAAAAAAGAGCGACCACCCAGGCAAAACGTTAGTTTTAACATCCCTGTGCGAATTTCCTCTAAAAATTCAGACAACCCGGTTGTCATAATGAAAATATACAGTGCCAGTCTACAACTGGAACCGGGGGTTCCCATTCTCTATAAGGCCAAGAGGGGGTTGATTTATTAGAGACTTTGGTTGTCGAGCGTTAGCTCGAGAATGGGGTGGATTTTTTAGAGAAAAGAGTCTTTGCAAAGCCAGATGTTTGCATCATTTTTTGAACATTTTCTGCTTTCGCATGAGTCGAAACACATGCAAGCATCGTCGACTTTTTGTTCGACTCGAACGAAGGACGGTCAATTCTTTAGGCCTTTTGAGTTTTTCGAACTTCCTTCGTCTCCAATTCGTTAGCAGATGCAATCTGGCTATTGATTCTTTGGAGAATGTTCTTGTTTTTTTAGTGCCACTTCTGGATACTGAACCTGGGGATTCCTAAAGAATTGACAGTCCGGGTGTGAGTGCGAATTGGAAGGGGGATGTTTTAACAAACGTCAGGTAAATCACGTACGAAAACAACCTTGCGGTACCCGTGACCTAGTGTGTGTGTGTGTTTTGTTAAATTTCCTTGTTACCTTGTCTTTACTTTTCAGCATCCTTTTCACAGGAGGGGTGTTTGGAACATGGTGCTTGAACATCAGTTGGTGCATGTTTCATTCCTGTTTCGATCTGTAAGGAAAAGCCATGCAAAACCCACGTGCTTTGTCCGACAAAAACATTGTGCCCAAAACCATGTTATCCCAGCTGCGCGACAAAACGATGTTCATCACGGTTTTGTGGTTGAAAGGTTTTTCAGCACCCCCTGAAACAGGTTGCTCCTTTCGCACCCTAGCGGAGAAGATCCGACATGGACTCTACCTGACGACTCGATCAGGCAGGGAGCGGAGGCCGAACTGCTGAGGTTTAGGAACGCAACAGAGGTTAGGTGACCGTAAATAGCACGCATCACCTGGGGTACCCAACTGGGATATAGTCTATAGGGCCATAGAGTTCTTCAACCTCTGTTGGTCCCTCTCATCTTGCTTTCAACGCTCCTGGCTCCAAGGCCGACTTGGGGCCCTCGCCCACCGGTCGGAGGTGGATCCATTGGACTTCCTCGCGAGGCAAAGCACGGGTCCGGCGTGTGGACGAAGAGCTTTTCTACGACAAAGTGGAGGATCCAGACGGGAAGGATGTGTTAGCGACTCGGCCCCTGCAGGAACAGGCGGTTTTAGGGGTCAGAAAGTGTTGGAACAAGGAAGTGAGTTGGGAGTCTCAGTGAGCAGCTGCTCAACACCGGTGTCTATTCCCTTAACGGTCTCATGTCTCCTTTCGTCTCCTTTCAGCTTGCTCATCACGGGCTGCACCGGATGTTTCGGTGCCCCATGACCGATCGGAGCACCGAAGGCTTCACGGATTTGAAACCGGTGAATACCAGCACACGGACGGATGACGGGGAGGTCAGGCGTCTGGACACCTGAAGGAATGGAGTTAGTTGGAATGGCCAGATGGTGGAGCACCATGGGCCGAGTGAAAATTACTTAAGTGTAGATTTTTTTTCCCCAAAACCACAGGCTTCCATTGGTGCGCAACATTTACCAACTGTGGTTATCTGTGGTTCCCACAAATGATGTCACAATGTCACAGCATCTCTTTCCCAACCCTTCGCGCCGCACCTCTCTCCTCTGAGGTTGAAGCCTTCGTGGCCAGCAGCTTGGTCGAAGCGAAGCCGAGGGAAGTTGCACAATGTTTCAAACAGAATGGTTGTGTGTTGGGTCTGTCCCATTACCTGAATTAAGAGTCAAGAGTTCGGTAAGCAATAGCAAATGGAGGGGCCTGCAACCTAACCATCATCCTCCACTGGGCCCTGGTAGTGGGATATACCGATATACCACGATATACCCAAGGTGTGTATTTGAATAGAGATCCCCAAACCAATGGGTAGACGGGCCTATTTTCCTTCTTCCATGGGTCTTTGCCTGGGAGGTCGCTCTTTTTACATGATCTTTACACACCCACTTTTTCATCCATCCACAGCAATGTGTTTTTCACCAACTTCCAGTTCATTCCTTCCAGTATATAGCTGTTGCTCAGTCCCTCAATTCCAGCTCGTCCAAGGGGTTCCAGTTCCGCTGCTGCTGCCCAAAGACCTGGGCTGCCAGGCCGGGGGGCGCCTGCGCCGGACGTCGCACCTCGGACCAGGCCGCCACCGATCCGATGAAAGCCGTCGATTCCGGGTCATCCGTGGAGCATCCAGCTGGGAGCTCGAACCGGGTGCATGGTCCACCCGGTTGGGGTGGCGGCTCCGACGCACCAATCTCCATGCGGATCTGGTCACCAGGCGGACTGGTTGGTGAAGGGAATTGGAGGCCCTCCCCAGGTGGGAGGTCCATCGCTCCTTCGGCCTGAGCTCATGGGCATTGCTTCACATCATGAAAGAACGAACGCCTTGGGGTGGGGAAGATCGTTGGTTGCACCCGAAAATCTTTCTATTTTGCATCTACCCCAGCCCTCTGAAAACATTCTGGCAGCTCGACTTTATCTCATGGTGCACGATATCCGGCCACGGACGTGTCTGAAGTCGATGGTGGGATTCTGTGCACCGGAAGGCGACCGAACAGGACGATCCGATGATCGACTCATTGATCCAGATCCAAAGAAGTCTAAAGGTTGCACATGGCAGATGGGTCATCGAAGAAGAATGGGGCATGCTCATCCAATCCCAAACGGCCACTAGTCCACACTGTATGCACTGGGAGAAGGGTTAGTGTTGCTTCATTTTTCACTTCCGGTCCTGTTCATCCCTTACGTGCTGTAACTGTAGGTTTTTTTTGAATGTATGACCGTATGACTCAGACGCAGGGCTGCAGAAGTGCAGAGGCTCCATGGGAGAAAACCTCAGTGCTTAGATTTTAAAAGGAGCGACAGACTTGTCCAGGTGGCTTTCTGGATGGGAACGACGGGAAATAACTTTGGCCGCTTGGTCACATCTGAGCCAAAGACTCATTCTGACCTTAGCAACACGTTGTATGTTGGGCTTTGTGCAGAAGGGAACTGGATGTTGGGACTGCTAGATACATACAGACATATTTAACATCTCGATGCTGCTTCAAGCACAATTGTGCTCATCTAAGGCTTGCACAGCGACCTTTTCACTGAACAATTTCTTTGCCAGCACCAGGCGAGGACATCCTGGGTCAAGAAAACAGTCACCTTTATCATCTACTAGTCACTAGTCACTGCTGCTCTTCACTTAATGGGTGACACGGTCTGACAGCCTAGCCAGCCCGTGTAATTCGGGTAAGGGCAAAAGGGTGTGTACGTATAGCCTTCGGATGCCTTTGGTAAAACATGATCACTATTTTGGGGAAAGATCTGTACTATAGAACCCTCATCATCCTCTGCGCCCTGGTCATAGGACTTACCGGACTTACCCAAACAACGATTAGTGCCGCGCCCCACCCGTACCATCGACACGGTGACACCACACCCTCCGCCGCTCCGCTGGAGCCGCCGCTCCGCTGGAGCCCAGGGCGTGAAGGAAGTCCTTCTACTCCTGCCGGAGGATGCAGCGATCGTCCAGCCGTCCCACGGCGAAAGAGAGCGATCCGCTGATCCGTGACGAACGCAGAGCATGGAGAGAGAGAGATGCCGAACGACTTGATTCGGTCTCCGAATCAGATCAACACTGCGGTGTAAACCAAGTGGGAATGTCAAGGTGGGACTATAATAGAGTCTGTGTTGTTTGAACCAGGAAGTTGAAGTCCCGAATGTATGGATTTGCTCACACACACACATCATTTACATGTCAGATCATGTATTGCCATGTATGGGGTCAATTCTCAGAGTACAGTATACATCGAATGACATGTTTGTCAAGCCAGGCTCATGCAATACTTGCGCCGCGTGAAACATGTGTCGAAAGCAGCCGGAGAAGGCGCTGGAAGCCACTGCTCTACTAGCCACTGCTTTGCTTTCCTCTGCTTGGGACGACTTAGGTTTCCCTTTCTGGAAAGCCCGCTGTTCTACAAGTCACGAGCACGCACGGCCCGCGACTCACAGACAGCTGGTGGAAACGGAAGGAGATGGAAGGGTGTTTCAGTCCAATTTGCAGAAGAATCTACAGTTAAGTGCGTTTTGTGCAAGAGAAGCAGCCATTTACTCAGGAACTGCCACTTTCTCAACAAAACACATTGCTGGTGTCGCTTGCAGGTGGACAACTTGACGCTTTCGAACGCAAAGTGTTTCCGCGTTGTGTTGGAGCCTGGTGACGTGCCCTGGGCTAAGCGATTCGCAAGCGATCCAGGAGTTCAGGGGCGTGTGCGTGTGAGAGCTCTTTTTAAAACCAGTTTTCTCACCATGTTTTCACCAAAGCAAACGATTTCCAGGTTTTTCACTTAGTTCCAAGTTGAGTGCCATTCATCTGGACCCTCAAAACCACATCGCCACGGTCTTTGGGTTTTTGGAGCCCAAGAAGCACCTTGGAACTGCTGGTTGGTGAGTTTTGGACTCACTGGTTTTGCTCGAAGTGCTTGAGCTATGGGAAGTGTCGAAGCGCTTCATAGTACCTTTTCAGTACCTACAAGTTGTTGAGTGAAGTTGTATCTTCTTGTTTGAAGTCGTATCTTTTGAGCGTCTGCTTTGCGGTGGGGCATGTTCAGCTTGTTTTTTTTTGAGGATCTTGTGACTTGTGGTTTGGCTTCTTGACTTGTGTCAGCGTCCCAGCTTGTGTTCTCTGAGTTTGAAGCCATTTCTTTAGCATGTTGCTTTTAAAAGCTTTCTTTTGTCCAGGGTGTCTTGGTCGCCCTGTTTGGTCGCTCGGATACGTAGTGGACTTCGGCTGTTGAACAGTTCACTCTTGTTAGATGCTTTTGACAGGCCCCTCCCATGGCTTTGTGACATTAGGCCTGGTCAAAGTGTAAGCCTTGTGATTTCACACATTTCATATCAGCCACTATATAATACTATATACAGCTTTTCAACAGGCATCCTGATGGATTTGGAATCTTGGTGGTGATCACACTTCTTCTCGTTGAACATAGCGTACCCATTGTGATTTGCATGCCTGTGACATCAACAAATGCAGCTGCTTTACAGGCATCCTCATGGGCTTTTAACAATCGACCTGATAAGAGTTGCATCCCTTCACGTGAGCGTACCCATGCAGTTCTATGTTTACCTGATGTGACACTGATGTGACTTAAACCGCCCTGATGTGACTTGAATCGCCCTTTGCAGCGGTACCCCCTTGCGGTTCATCGGTGTGACTCAACCACGGTGAAGATGGTTTCCGTGAGACTCCTCCCCTTGTGCCTGTCGTCGGGTGTGGCGTGTTGGGTAGTCCAGCCAGGTGACCCAGATGGTCGGATGGTCCCAGGTGACCTGGTTTGTTTTGGTCCTTGTTTAAAGGTTTTCTGAGGTGAACGATTGCCATGTCCCAGGGCTCGGTTAAAGACACCTGATGTCCCAGGGCTCGGTGCGATGTCGGTGCTCTCCAGCTGAGCGCCGCTGTTTTGGGTTCCTTTGATCCTTCTGCAATCTGAGGTGCTCTTCATCCCCTTGTTTTGGTGGCACGAGGTGCGTACCTTACAAGGCCCAGCGGTCTCCACCACCTACCGCTTCCACACTGAGGCAGGAGGCAGACAAGAGGTGTGGATCCAGGATGGTTCAGTTGATATGGAGATGATCGGTCCTATAGGTAGTTCAAGGTGGACGCGAAGGATTCAGCTTGGACATTTTGGTGCTCACTCTATTGATTGTTTATCCACTTGATTTGCTCCCATTTTCGGATACGACCACAAGGCAATGGACAATGACAGTGGTCCCTGATCTCCAAGGAAGGTATACACATGTCAAACAGTATCATAAGTGCTGCGGGGTGAGACAAGGGACAGTGCGCACGTGATGTGATGTGGCACTTATTCTTGGTCCCAGCAGTGCGTGGCATTTTCTGGACCCTCAAGCAGGGCCGTCCCTTCTTCCGAAATATACTGCCTTGATAGATTTGGGGCCCGGTTTTGGGACCCTGAAGTGAACCACCATGGGATTTGGAATGATGATTCTTTCATATTCTTGGACAACAGCGAAGCCAGATGTTTATTGGTTTTGTGGCTACAAAGCTGGGCCCCTTCCTTGCACATGGCAATGTGCTTTTTGGGAGGGCATCGCTGGTCTGCAGTTACGCAGAGCTTGCCAATAAGGGCCGGGGAGTACATATCACAAAAAACATCAACGTGGGCCCTTCTTGACCAGCGTTTGAAGGGGGTACTGGGATCTCTGAGGGCTGCTTATGATCGAAAAGGAACATCGCGCACACCCATGAGCCCAGAGGCCGTTTCATTTTGAGCTTAATACTGACAGCTTGGGATCGTTGCGCGCAGCCAGAAAGAATAACCTTTTTCATGCAGTTTCTGCGAGGTTCGAATCCGAGAGGGGACATGTATCCCCTTGAGCAAGCGGTATTAGAGTTCCTAGTTTCTATATGTTTCTACTGATTAGACCGCGGCGACCGCTACATGAACATCTCTGGGCAAAGCAACTTGACCCGCAAAGGTGAATTGATCGCATTCGCACATCTCCCAATCTAGTTACTAACTTGTCACCGGCTCCACCGAGAGAAGCCGCAGACCATTAAGGTGAGCCCCCACAACGGATCCACTATAGGATTGGTGCTTTCTGTTTGACTCCGTGACAGAGAGCCAAGCCCTCACGTGCTCAGACACCGGCAGACCGGCACCCCAGACCCGTTTCAGGATGCGGAGCGCTTTCTGAAGGTCATGAATGCCTTTTACCAGTTCCACAAGAATGCCTTGGAGTGCGCGGTCTTTTCGGAGGTTGGGGCGAAGAAGTGGGCAGCTGCGACTCGCGTTCTTGGTTCGGGGGGGGGAAAAGGATGAACAAAGGTACCTTTTGGAGGAAGGGTTGGAGGCTGCTCCCCTGTGCTGCAAACTGGAGGACCTCTTCGCCAAGCGATATAAACCCACCACATCATCAGTCAGAATGTAACATGTCGGCAGCGGTGAAGATGTGCACAGAACTTTCTGCCACACAGAAAATGCCTTTTTTCTCAATCCTGGCGGCGTATCGGAACATCGGAACATATCTTTCCATAAGCCCACCACTTCACAACATCAACGGAACCCTTCCTCTCAACCGAACACCTGTTCAGTTGTGAATCCATTTACGCTAAGCACGCCTCGGGTCTTCTACGCGCTCCAAAGATGATTGATCGGAGGTACGGCAGTGGCCAGTTAGCTGCGCACATACGTAGCCTGGCAACTTCTGGGACGCGAAGGGAGAACGTCAGAGACAGCTGTCGAGGGGAAAGGGTGCATTTTGGGTGGTGCCACAGGGGCCTCCCAGGATGGATGGATGGATGGATGGATAGGCAGGGAATTGAACAGGCCCGGCAGAACACATGGAAAAAACACAGTTGAAGAGCGCACATGTAATTTAATAGTTTGTTAATCGTTCGTTTGTCAGGGTGTTGGATGCTCAGCTTCCCCTTTTCTGAGCCGGTGTCACTATTTTTATTAGTGGTAAGTCACTCCAGTGGAGGCCTGGTTTTTGTCCCACCTCGCTGAAGACCGACTCCACCTGCCAGGTTCCTTCTTCGTTCATGCTTTGGTGGAGCGACCAAGTCCCAGAGGCCGGCCTGCACGGGTTTTCGTGGAAAGGGGGTGATTTCACGGGTCTTGATTGAGAAGGTGCCCCCATCACTAGGCTCCAGGCCCCCAGGAACATTTTAAAAAACAACACATTTGAACACATTGGTGTTGTTCTCATTTTCTGCTTGCGTTCTGTGGTCTGCGAACTCTGCGAAGACATGCACGCCCCATCCAGCAGAAAACGCTCAACACAACTTTCAACCATAAACCGGAAGTTGTTCCACCAAACCATGTTTGTTGGAGACATCATCAGCTGTGACACCCGGATTTCAGCTCTGGAACCGATCCGATCTCTTGGCGTTCCACCTCGTGGTGCCCAGGTGTTTCTCGAGCCTGGTGCTCCCTCTGTGCCGTGGGTGTCCTCGGCTTCCTGCTGGGCTTTGGTGTGGCACGTCGTGCGCGGTGAGAGGGCCCGGACTCTCCGACCGAAGAGTCCCACTCGCTTGACCGAGAAGCGGCCTTGGTGTGGGAGAAATGAGCGAAGACGAGGGCGCGCGCCTTGGTGCAGGAGTTCAGATGGGAGAGCCTTGGAACTGGCCAGCATGCACCGGTGGGCTCCAGTGATGGTTGGATACTACGGAGGGTGCCCTTGCATGAAACGCTGTCCATGCGAACTGAGGCTCACTGCCATGGGTTTTGCTCCAGCTGTATCACCAGTCGCGACATGTCCCGATCCGATTTTCAGTTCGTGATAGCAAACTACTGGTGTATTAGACCTTTCTCCTCCCCGTACTAGCGACGGCCTCCACCCTACTAGCGATGGCCTCCAACCTTTTGCACCAGGAGATGGCCATTTTGCTGGAGGAGCATGTTGCGCAGCCGGCTCCTTTTCGACCCGCCACGTCCTTGTGCAAAGACAACGCTCGACTCGAGGTGGTGGTCACTGGTGGCGCATGTCGGATCCAAGGGTGGCCTGAGATTGGTGATTCACCTCCCAAACTTTTTGTCAGAATCCAGCCCGAAACGGTGTTTTCCTTTTTCGGGGCCAGCCATGGTCAAGCTTTGAGATCCTGCCAGTATTTGATCGCAAAAAAGACATTCATCACAATGCTTATACATTTTTACCTATACAGACCCAAATAGATACTGGTCGAAAAGTAAATCACCACAAACATGTAACAGTATGAGATCCGTGCCACTATTTACTGTATTTGGGGACCGGGACCACTATATCAACTCTATCATTGGACAAAGCAGTGGAAGCTTTTGCATCAATAACCTCCTGATTGTGCAGTTTCATGACTGACACTCCTTTTTCAAGCCCGGAGCCTTGCATGATCAACGGCCCGCCTTGATCAACCTCAAAAAAGAACAAGAAACATGTTTGCAGCTCCCAGCGGCAGACACAACGACCCTACAACAAGCTGATGCCAGACATGGTGCCCTTTGTATTTATGAACACAAAAAAAAACTGGTATATATATATATTATATATATATACACAGTATATATGTAATAGTAACTTTTTTCTCCCAGCCACTGGCCGACTTCAAACCCACCTCCGTGCCCCTGCCGCCCCACGTTGGCTCCATCCGCAACCGAACCGCGAAATGCCCAGAGCCCTGAGAGCTTCGGTCCAAAGTCAGCGCCCAACGCCAGGCACCTGGAGGGCTTCACGCCTGGTCAGTGATCGTGAATGGCCTAGCACCTTTGCTGGTGCGTGAAGACACAGGCAGGGTCACAGTTGTGGACGGAAACATAGCAAGATTGATGTGGCAGGAGAGAGTTCTGGCAGTGGATGCGAGCCATCCTAACTTGTAATCCAGAAGCAAAGGCCACGCATCAATTGCATGACAATCACACCGCACTCCTGCTGATGCTACTGCCATGCTTAAGGACACGTGGATTTCAGGACCCTCTCCTTTTGCAACAAATGGATTCTTACCTGCTTTGCAAGACGAGACGTGCTTATCAGGTTCCGATCATGCATGCAAAAATCGGGTGACTCGTCAGGACCTGAACATCCGATCAAGCCTGACACATGTCCTACTTCGGACGACTCGTGCGTGTTGGTGGAGACAAGACATGCTCAAAGAGAATCTACGCCCAAATGGATCTTGAATGATCTTGACTCAATCAAACTCTCCGATTTTGGGACATCTCCCAGTTTTTGGGATCCTTTGCGGGCCGGGCGCTCACTGGGCAGCCAAGGCTGCCACTACGAAACCCAGGACCGGCTGGAGTTGTTCATACCAAACATCCCCTGCCTCTTTCAAGACATGTCAGGACCAGCTTTGACTGGTTCCGACCCATCAAAAGAAATTGTACGACTCAACATGTAGAACGGCCGCTTCCCGCCCAAACGAGGCTGCTTCAAGCTGAAGCCCTTGCTGCTTCAAGCTGTCGAGCCTTCGAGCGGGCGAGCGTTGTGGCACCAGAGGCAGGGTGTCGATCCGACGAGGCATCGCGTGTTCAATGACCTAGGCAAGTGTAAACTCCCTAGGGATCCAGTCGTATCGAACCTCAGGTTCGGTACGACTGGACCCGACGTTTTGGCACCTACATAAGGTACGTGCCTCCTTCCTCACCGTACCTGAGGTTCGGTACGACTCGATGCCCAGGGACTGGACATGGAAAACTTCTTTGAATCCAGATATGGGCTGTGGGTCATGGCAGGCGGATCCTGGGTTGCCCAAAGAAAGATGAAACGGACGACCTACCGGGGTGAGTCCACCTAATTAGTAGGTGTTCTGGGTGTTCATTGTGTCCACCCCAATTTATCCTTAACAGCCTCAAGTTGCAGCAATTGTGGCCACAAACCGGAAGAGCAACCAGCATGAGAAACCGTGGATGCCCCCCTCATGCGTATACCGATAGTTGGCACTTTGGGATGGGCTTCCTAGATGGCTTATATGCAAATCTGTCCAAACTTGGCCATGTTGGCTGAAGTGATGCAGGAAATCATGCATCAACAGTAATGATGCGCCATTGGCGCCTTTTCAAATCATAGACTGACACAAGTTTCTTGCGCGAACGCCAACTCCTCTTGCCCCACAGACTTCGCATCAGGCAAGTCTGGGTCTTAATCAATCACACCCCAGTCACCTACAAACTGAGAAGAGTCCGGTCAATACCAAAATGGCAGTGGGTCCACCAAAGGGCACCCTGGGGTGAATGAATTGGTTCCTCTATCAATTAAGGATGTCAACCATATCTCAAGTCTCAGTCCGTCCTCGGGATTGACAAATAACATACAGTAAATAAAAGGCAAGAGACCTCGTCCACAGACACCCGGCTTCATGAATTACCTCTCAGAACCCCCAATCTGTGGCCACACTCGGCTGGGGAGACATGGCTGCGGGTCCAAAGTCCCCATTTCACCGGGGCCATTTCTGAAGTGGAGCTGCTGAACGCCAGGTCGGCAGGTCCTTTTTTTCCCCCCTACCGGGTCATGATACCTGGAGCCCCTTTCACTCACTCACTCACCCTGCTGGGGTTAACTGACCGACCTCCCTGCTTTTGTCGTCTCTGTTCGACTCGGTGGGAATGTCATACCGCCAGAGTCTCCCGGAGCCATCGCAGAAACCAAGACAGGTAGCCAGTGACCTGAACTAGGACCCGTCTCCTGGGGTACCGAACTGGGATAGTCGAACAGTCGGGTTCTGACCCACCTCTGTTTGGAATTGTACTGTAAAAGTTTCAACACACACATTGACAAAAGATAATTCTATTTATGTATATACAATCTACTGTATGTACAGTATTTCTTGGGAAGAAGAATGCACTTCTCAAAAAACTTATATAAGGCAATCTTTTTTTGAATATCTGAACCATGGTGTCAAAAAGTAGTCACTTGCATTAGGATCACCATTTATGCATGCAAACTCAAATAGTGTTGGTTAGTTACGTTTTTAGTTTGATAATTATGTATCAAAATATATCCTTTCATTCTTAAATAAAAAGTATGTTTAACAAGTAACACCTTTGTATGCACAGCAATGTAAAGGTGTTCATACTAGAGAATAGAACTGTTTTACATTTAAACACATTTAGCAAAGAGCCCAACAAAATGCGAAGCAACATAGAGCTAAATGAGTAGTGAATCACACTAATCGAGGAACATGTAGCAGTATTTTCACAAAGGGACAACTATTTCAAGAGCGTTGGATGAACAGGAGCAGCGACATGAACCCTGAACAAATCAGCTTAGTTTGAGAAACATTGAAAAACACAAAGCAGCCATGAATAAGTTTATCAAGATTAAGACGGGACAGCTAGTTAAAGGAAAATATCAAAGCAAGAGTGCTAGATAACAAAAAACATAGGGCTTTTGACAAACCAATAGGTCAAGGTTCCTGGAAAACTGCAGTTATTGTCATAGTCTCTTTCAGTGTTTTCTTCACAATCTCCGTTTCCGAGTTTTTGACATTCTTAGTGGAGCTGTTGCAAAGTCATTTGTCTTTACTTGTTGCAGGCAGCGCGTTGCCTGCTGACCATCGCGCGCGAAAAGATAATAAAGGAACACTACGACACTACGAGCTTGAAAGAAAGGTTGCGGTAGTAAGAGTAAGTTGAACTTAGACCCGAACCCAGAAAGACAACCAACACCAAAAAAACCAAGTAAACAACACTCTGAGGAGAATCTTTGGTCTCGGATGGTTTCGGCCTGAAAGATTGTAATTGATTTTCATTGAGTTTTATTGTGTGTTTTCATGTGTTTTCCATAAATTTTGGTATCCTTTATTAACACGCATAAAACACACACTGTTTGTTTATTGATTAATTTGGTCTATGAAATCACCAATTTCCCAAAACACGAAACACAAGGTCTTATTTTGACTTTTGCATTCCTTTTATCCAGAGGCCACAAACACATGTTTTTTTGTTTAGTTTTTTGTGACTTAAGGTTGCATATATGAGCTTACGGCCTCGTTAGTTAAGACGAAGTAGGTTGACTGGTTTCTCCCGAAGGGTTTGGGCTCTCAGCGTATGTCGTGCACCCTTTGCGGTGTGCGAACTTCGGAGCCGGACTCGAAGTGCACGTTCTGCCGAGCTAGGGACCGTTTCTGGGTTGTCTTGGACGAGCTCCCGTTCGAACTGAGAGGCTGGGCAATCTCGAACCTCCGAATCTGGACAGGAATCGTCCAGGAGGAACACGAGAAGTTCACCTCGCTTCTGAAGCAGCAGGAGGTCGTTGACAACACTGCAGCCCCGAAGTCAGCCGGCCCTAGCTTGGTCAGTAAATCTCCCACAGAGGGGAGAGAGTTGAACCTGAACGACAAGGCGAGTGACTCGAGGAAGGAAGGCCCTCAGACAAGCCCAAAAGGAGGAGAGGAGGCAGTTGAAGGACCAGACAAGAGCTGGATTGAGCCCAAGCGGGAGAAAGACAGGAACAGAAGCCCAAGAGGAAGCCCAGGAGTTGAAGAGTTAGACCTCCCAGAAGGGGAGGGGAAGTATTCGAGTGGCTCAAAGGTGCCTGAGGAGGACGAGAAGAGCAAGAGGAAGAG